AAGATCTAATAGCAATCTTAAAAAAAGTCCTTAAAAGTCATTAAACTTAAGATTTTGTTTAATTAATTTTACTTTTAAGACTCCTCCAACATTGAACCTAAACCTCTTCTTGCAGGCTTGCCCCGAAGACGCTCTCAACCAACTTTCCAATGAGCTCAAATTCACGTTTGATGGTTCGGCCTCAAACACCAACCTCAGACCAAGTCTTGCCCCGCAGGCCCAAACAACAACCATTCATCCTGTAAGTAAACCTTTAAAAACCCTATTAGCTGACCAACTGAGGCTAGTTTTTACGAAGTTATGAGAAACTTTTAGGTTTGCTCTTAACTTTACTGAATCAATTTTATTGTAGGCATGCAACTGACTGATACTTCTTTGAGCGACTTCTGTGCAAGTACTTGAAGTAAATGAGTCACCATTAGTGCAGTGACGGCATGTTTTAAGCTGAGCCCATGAAGGCCCTCTACCTGTTCAGAAATAAATATCAAATAGAAAAAAAAAATGTGTTTTTAAGTCACACATATGACCTTCCTCTTAGTATTTATGTATGAATACAAAGCTGACAGCAAAAAGCAAATATGAAACCTGCAAAAAGAGACTTTCAAGCTATCGCCACGGTGATTCTACTTTAGAAACATGAACAGGTAGAAGCAGGGGATACAGCCTGACACCTTATCAGTTTGTTACATGTTGAAGTTCAGGGTCTTGCTGCTGGCCTGAGGTCGACATTCACTCAGCTAACATCACTCGGAATACTTGTATCAGCATGTTGTCTGTGCAGGTGATTGCAAAGAGCTGAAGTTGTGTTAGCAGCATAATGCAGTTGTTTCTGTCCAGGATGCATTTTACACTTTACCATCATGCTCTCATCCTTTATAAATAAAAATTTAATTAAAAATCCTTCTTTTGGTTCATAAAACTCCAGAACAACTGCTTCCCCAATCTCTCAAAAAACCTCACATCAGGTCAGGTGCAGCTTTTTGAACTGTTCCCACCATTAGATTAGAAGTGTGCTAAAGGGAGGGGTTTCTGTTACTGTGGCTCTGTGTTTACATTCAAAACAGACTCAAAGTCCTTTTAATTTGTGCAGGGTTGCAGTTATTAACTGTGTTTTTTGTGTGTATATATTAACTGTATTTTCTGTCTTTGTAAAGTTTTATTTTGTTGATTTTATTGCCTGTAGACTTACATGTGGTAGCACATTGGATCACCATAAAACCACTTATTTAGTCTTTAAATAATTTATAATGTGTACTTTTCCATCATGCTCTCTTCCACAGTTAAATTTTGAGATCAACTGCGGCACTGATAACAAATGCGTTGATAACCTGAAAGTGGATTTCAACTTCACCAGGTGAGGCACAGTTACAAAACCTAAGCTTTGCTTGTGCGTCTTGTTTTCTTCAAATGTGTTGTTATTTTCAAGTTGTACTTAATGTCACTTAACTTGTCCTTATACAACCATTATTAATATTTTTGAAACTGATGACGCTGTTGTTTTTTGTGCTACCCATATGGAAAAGAAATAGAAAAAACTTTTAAAAGACTTGCATGAGATGTGGCCTACTTCATATAGTAAATCACATAAGCCTTTTATGATTCACTATAGTAGGCCACATCTCATGCAAGTCTTTTAAAAGTTTTCTTTTCCCTATGGGTAACCAGCAAGTATTAGAATGTCAACTCAGCAAGAAGGGATGGATGTTTTTGTTTTTTTGTTGTTTTACATTTAGCATCAGTATCTTAGCAAAGCCATTTACCTTACTGTTTGAGCAGAAAAATAACATGGTTTATCAAAGCTCAAAGTGCATTATATTTGATATACTGTGACATTAGTATGGTTCTAGTCTTGTCTTGTTTTGCCTTGTTCTCATCGGGCTTTGTACTTTGCCAGATCCTCAGAGGTTAAAGTGGGTATTGAAGAGCTTTTGAATGTCACAGTCACAGTGGAGAACAGAGGAGAAAACTCCTACAACAGTCGTGTTATTCTCACGTACCCAGCTGGACTCTCCTACAGGAAGTTTACGATTCAGCAGGTAAAGCATCAGGATCGAGTCTGTTTTAGTTCATCACTGATCTGCAGCTCTTCCAATCCATTCAGCAGTCATTTTATTCCTAATAAAGGGACGAATTGAGTGCAACTCCTTGGACAGTGAAGATGGTTTATCACGAGGAAGGACAGACTGCACTATTGACAAGCCAATTTTCAAGAGCAAAACTAAGGTTTGCTTTTTGATGCAATTTTCTCTTCTCACTTCTGCACAGTTTAGTAAAAAGATGTGAGGGAATCAAGATTTCTCTCCTTTATTTCAATTAAGGCTTTCTTCATTGTCTCCTATGGGATTGACACCAACAGTCGACTTGCGAGAAAGATCTTTGTCACTGCAAATGCCACCAGGTACTGTTGCTTTGGTACAGATACTCTTAATTTATGCAACAGCACCAGATACAGGACAGATTTTTTTTCTTTTCTCTTTCAGTGGAAATCAGGAGCATGCACCTACAAGTGAACTCTACAAAAATAAATCGATTGATGTAAAATACAGCATTTTTATGACATTTGAAAGGTGTGTGTTGTTATGTTTGTAACAAAAGAAATCACACAGTAACAAATGTTCTATTACATAATGTATATTTAAACCTCAAAAAATGTCTGTTTAGCTCACTCAGCTATAACAATTTCACATTTGGGAAGAACGACTTGAAGAAACCAGTCCAACAGTCCGTTAAGGTAAAATATAACTATCCTCTTTAAAAGTTTATTGTATGATTTAGACCTAACTCTAATTCATTTTGTCCTTTTCTTCATTCATTTAGGTCACAAATGATATCAGAGCACTTAATTTCACTGTGGTGATCAGGGTTCCAGTGAGGCTTGGTGAAAAAGACATTTGGGTGGATTTGAGCAGCCTACAGGTAATATTTATGTAATATATGTTTTAGCTGCTGAAACTACAAATAGTTTAAATTTTATTGTGGATGGATGCATATGGTAAAATTAAGACCAATAAAACTTAAATCAAACATATGTCAGATTCCAGACTGTCAGAAAAGAAATGACGAAGAACCAAGTGTCAGAGATTTTGTTCCAAAGATACAAAAGGATAAAGTGGTGGTAAGTATGCATCTGCACTTTACCTGTTCAAATTTAACCTAATTGTAGATTTAAACAAACAAACAAAAAGCACATTACACTGGCTCACAGCTTGTGTTGCATCTTCTCTTCTTTAAATCACAGGACTGCTCTGTAGCCATGTGCAGAGTGTTCAAGTGCAACACGTTCCTGGAAAGACTGCAGAGTACGACGTATAAAATCTCTGCCAACATTAGTTCACGATGGATACAGCAGGTAACTGGAGGGATTTTGGGGTTTAATGAAAGATTTATTTATTTATTTTTTTACAACTGTTAAATCTTTAAGCTTTACTTTTTCTCTTAGATTGGACTTCAATCTGCTAAATACCTCTTGACCAGCACAGCCAGTCTGGAGTACGACAAAACCCAGTACATCTACTTTTCAACAGGGTCTGACATCAATTCTCCTGTTCGCAAGGTGTGTACACATTATTTTCTCTTGTTTGACTTATTAAGAGTTTCATTGGTATCAACATCCTGTCACTTCATCTCTCAGATTGAGGCAGAGGTAGAAGTTTACCCTGAGCCAGATTTCACCAAAGAGATCGTTGGAGGATGTCTGGGAGGGTTGGCTTTTCTGGCCTTACTCACAGCTGGCCTGTATAAGGTGAAAGACTCTTCTTACACTTTTTCAACTAATCCGTTATAAAGGTTTTAGAGAACATATCCTGTTGAAAATAGTTTAATGGTTATTATATTTACTCATATACCTTGATTATTTTTGTTCATTTTTAATGCATGATTGTTACATTTATGTGTGGGGCTTTTTTTGCACTCCTAGGCTGGATTCTTCAAGAGCAAATACAAACAGATGATAAATGAAAATGCTGCAGATGGTCCGAGTCCTGGGACTGATGCAGGCGCAACCCTACCAGAGTAAAAAAGATCACATATGTAGTTGTACATTTAATTTATATGAAATCTATAGACCCTCCGGATAGTTTTAGGAGTGAACATGGTACGTAGTAATGTCCATTCTACTACATTTGATTGATCGAACAAAAACAGCTTGCTGTGTCTAATATCACTCATTCAGTTTCCTCACTGGTGGTCAAGACATTGAAAACAGGGTCACAATACTATATTTTTGAGGAATCTTTCTGCTCACCTTTCAATTTAAATTACTGCAAACATTGTACAGTGAAACTAATTGTCATGCCATTATGTACTGTAAAACTTTTCAAATTCAATAGATATAGTTAAGAAACACTTTGCTTGCTTTAAAAAAACAAAACAAAACAAAAAAACAAACTGAACTTGTGAAATGTGACTTGCTTTGTTGAGAAAGAATGGACAGGGTATGCAATGTTTTAGCTCTGTGATGTGACTTTGCATAAAAAGTATTTCTCATACAGTGTCAGTGTTTGTCATTTGCAAAATGTAAAAAAAAAAAATTGTTTTTTGGTTTCATATGATTAAGTTATAATTAGAAAGATAACAGCAGTTTAGAGTAACCATATACTCATATCATAAGTTTATTTAAAAAAAACAACATATTGTCATGTTGTCTTTGATGCGTTGTCAATCATCCAGATAAGAATATACTTGTAGACATGACAATATGGGCTTGATAACATGAAACACACAGACAAGAAATACAAGTAATACTGACACAGAGGACAAGAGCAGACTCACACAAAGGGATATAGATGAAAACCTAAACTAGAATAGCACTCAGCTAAATCCTAACTGATAATACCAACACAAGACTAACATATTTTCAATATAATATAAAAAATCAAAAATACAAAATGAACACAAAATATTGTGTCACAGAAACAGCAATTCGAAACAACAACATTGCAGACGTGGAAACAAAGCAACTGTGGATGGAAGTTTCAGCCTGTCTTAGCAGTGCAAAGCACCCAGCATCCAACATCAGTGTGGAGGAGAGGAAGGAACTTACCTTGGATTTTGTTGAAAAGATGAGAGATCATTATGGAAGCAGATGAAACAATGGTCTCGTATGATGTTACATCTCTCTTCACTGGCGTTCCAGCCACGGAGAGATTACAGCATGACCCCAAATTCAGCAACAGGACTACTCTCAGCAGCGACCAAGTGTGATTGCTCTTTGAACTAACAGTATGAGGGACTTTTAAAAGTTGATGTGTACCATAAAGCAATGCATAGTGATCAGCATTTAAAGTTTGACTATCATCATCAACTGGAGCACAAACTGGGTGTCATTAGGATGCCACAACACAGAGCGAACACAGATGCCCACAGACATAGTGGCCAGGAACATCATATCAAAAAGGCCGTGAGTAAATGTGGTTATCCCAGCAGGACATTTGTCAAAGCTGGGAAAGCACCTAAAGAAAGCTCCAGGTGATCCAGGAGAGACGAAGGACAACTGCTGTTTAAATGAAAACCCTTAGTGATCCCTTATGTGTCAGGATTATCGATTCAGTTCAATTTTATTTATATAGCGCTAAATCACAACACAGTTACCTCAGGAGGCTTTATATTCTAAAGTAGACCTTACAATAATACAACAGTTGTGAAGCATTTGCTCTAAACACTGCATCTCTGTGGGTTTTAAACCCTAAAACACGCAGCGCTAAAATAGTGTCTAGGATCTGGTCCTCCGGCACAAAGTAGAGTAATATAGGAGGATTGCCATTACATTGTATCATATATTAAACAACCTCTGGTGAAGCGGATGGCACAGTAGAAGAGCTAACTCGTTAGGCCAAGCCTCCAGTCTAGTCACACCTACAGACCAGTAGCCACTCTTTCAACCATGAGGATGTACACATCCTGGACAGGGAGGAACACTGGTTTGAGCACTGATTAAAGGAGGCAATTTACATGAAAAGGGAGAGACCATCTCTGAACCGAGGAGGGGGCCTAAGGGCAGTGCTGGTCAAGTTACTTGAAAAAAGTAATCAGTAACTAATTACTTCCCCAAAAAAGTAATCCCATTACTTTACTGATTACTTATTTTCAAAAGTAATTAATTACTTAGTCAGTTACTTTTTAAAAACACGATTTACAACCCAAATAGGTGATAAAGTGATAGATCTTTGAGCCCAATTCTATTTTTTCCTGCATAATCCATCATACAAAATGTAATCAAATGGAAAAGTCTCTTTTTAAAACTTTTATTAGTTTTAATCTTTTAACGTTATGCATCAAGCAAAAATTTTATTATATGCAACATTCTCTGACTGGAAGAAATTTGTTTAACATTTATTTTCTGCACATTCCAGCACATAAAATAAAATATTTTTTGTGTTTACACTCACTCTTTCAAATTGATGCAAGTAAAACACAGCAGAAAATAAATAAAATCCAAGACTAGCGGTCTTGTTGCTCTATTATCACCTGTAAAGCAGGAGTGGGGTAGGTGGAGGTTTACCCTGGTGCAGGTGTGCCGCAGCGGTCAGGTGAAGAATCCGCAAGTTTCTCTGTGAATTTCCCATTACGTGGTAGCGCACTCGGTGCTTGCTTGGAAGTTTAGGTTTTTTTTTTACCACTATAAAATGAAGTTTTCTTCCCACACACAACGAACGCTAATGTTTTTGTCACTTTATGGAATCAAACTCAAAATAAGGTCAGTACTTCCACGCTTTAAACGCTGCATGCTCATACTCTATCCATTGTTGATCTGCACACAGCTGTTGTCACGAATGTCGCACTCGCTTACGTAACTGTCATGAGACATTCTCGCAAAAATAAAAAAAACAAAGAAAACCCCCCCAAAACCCCCCACGGTTTTAGTAACGCAGTAATGCAGCTTGCTTACGAGAAAGTAACGTAATCTAATTACCGTTTTTGCAATAGCAATCCCTTACATTACTCGTTACTTGAAAAAAGTAATCGGATTACTGCCCATCTCTGCCTAAGGGTACATCTTTCACCATCTTACAATGTTGTGACTGCAGACATTCCCTAACTCTCTGTGAATGGTACTCATGTTCTCTGATCAGTAGTGATTGATCAATGATCAATGAGCTTTGATCAATGGTCACGACAATTTGCATATTAATGATCTAGAAACTGACCTCACAGCCTATTACTTGCCAGTGGTGCGAGTTTCAGTCATTGTGCAAAGGTACTGTTTATAAAGTTGGGGAAACCTGCAGACAGCTGAAACTGAAGAAGTCACTTGAATGAGTGACAAAATGTTTCTCCCACCGAATTGGCTACATCCAGATGAACAGAATCAAATTTTTGGGATAAAGCCATCTTATTGTAATAAATGTAAAGTAATTTGAAGTGGTTGAGACTATATAAGCTAGATTCTGTGCTGTGGTGACGGAGAACCATGGGTAGGACATGATGGAAACCTTCGAGCTATCAAATGTTATTGCATCCCACTCTCATTCCCCATACCTGTTGTTTAAAACTTCTGACTCTGTTCTTAATGCCTCAGTCTGTCTCTTTTGAAAACTCCTGAAAATGTGTAATACATTTTTGAACTTTTTTTTTATTTTTTATTGGTGACTCTGACCCTCCAGTTCTTCCCTTGATGCTATTACTTCTTGATTTTTTGAGGAGATTTTTCCTAGAGTAGTGTAGAATGTTTAGCTTATTTTAGAGTTTAGAAATGTGTTATCATAGAATGTAGAACTATTGTAGAGACATTGATACTGCCCTTAAAGTAATAAAGGCCTCACTGTGTCGTGAACTTAGGAGTAGATTGTAGGAGACCTCTCCCCCACTGAGTGGAAATTCCCCAGAGGATGTCTTAGGGTGGGGGTCTCAACATTTCTAACTGGACAACTGTGGTTTGGAAGGGAGAGGGGTTTTATGACCTCTAGGGAGTTACCTACACCCACAGTGTTTTAACTGTCACGCACACACATCCACACGCACACTCACTCATGTGCACTCACACATACACACAGGTATGCGTACACAGTCACTCACGAGCACTCACATAGACAAGTGGGAACGCGCACATGTAGGCATTCATGTGCTCGTGCACATAGACACAGACAGAGTTTGCAGCACACCGTAAGGGGTTTTATGATGGGGACCCGTCTATAAAACTGTGTTTCACAGACAAAGGGGTGAAGATTTTTGCAGAGGGACACTGGCCTCGTCTTCCCTTCTAGAAGTGCATGCTTAAATGAAGATGAGTAAAAGATGAATAAAGATTTTGTGAAAATGACTACTGAGTCCGGTGCCATCTCTGGATGCTCGAGGAATAAAAGAACGTGGGTAAAACTGATTTCTCAACAGTAGGTCTGGTGGTTCTTGCCATGATTAAATGCAGTGTCTTCTGCTGTGGTCTTTCCTTATTTTAAACATGCAGTAATGCAACTTTTTTTTTATTAATAAACCTGATCTTGATCAAACTGTGCTAATTTTAGGCCTCTCTCTAAACTACCTTTTCTTTCAAACATTTTAGAGAATTTGGTTTTTATTCTGGTGAAGACTTTTGGAAGAGTTGGTGATATCCTTCAATGTACAGAGTCTGTCTTAATCTGTTGCTGGTCTTCGCATGTTTTGATGCTCTGAGTGATGGAAGTGATCTATCAGCTCTCTGCCCTTTGAGGTGGAGTTTGGAGCTTTTTCTACTCCCTGGCTGGATCACCTATGGCTCATTGGTCTAATTAGCTGCAGCACAAATGAACCAGCTCTGATAGTCATTCCCCATCAAATTATCAGCTACTCCTTATTGTTCATATATCGTTTTTCATGAAAGTTCCTTGTATGAAGTGATGACTGCTGCTCGCCTCAAGTGTGTGGTTCCAACCTCTTCCCGTTCTCCAATCAAGCACATACTTGCTTGCTTGACTTCTTGGTCCCCTTCAATACTTCCTTCTCAAACCACCACTGATAAGGAATGTCTGTGGTCGCTGGACATTGAAATTTTATCTTTGAGTATGCATCCATATTACTTAATATGTCGCTTCAAGGTATATGCATATACATATAATATACAAGGCACAGAGAAAAACCCAACAATCATCTGACACCCCATGAGCAAACACTTTGGCGATAGTCAGTAGGAAAAACTCCCTTTTAGCAAGAAGAAACCTCTGGTAGAACCAGGCTCAGTAATGGACGGCCATCTGCCATGACCATTTGGGGTAAGAGAAGAAAGACAAGACAAAAGACATGCTGTGGAAGAGAGCCAAAGGTTAATAACAAGTAGAATTCAAAGCAGAGAGGTCTATTAACACATATTTAGTCACCTTTCTCACTCACTAAGAAATACTCCATGCATCATGGGAGTTCCCCAGCAGCCTAAACCTATTGCAGCAGAACTAAGGGAAGATTCAGGGTCACCTGGTCCAGTCCTGACTATCTGCTAAATTTAAGCTTAATCCTAAAAGTAGAGATAGTGTCTGTCTCTCGAATCCAAACTGGAAGCGCAAGAGGGGCCTGAAAGT